CGTGGAAGTGGTGTTCGAATGTGGATTGCGTTCGAACGAGGGTGACTCCCAGTACTTTGGTTTTCTGCAGAACCCTAAGTGTTGTGAGCTCCCTACGTTAAATTGAGGAAGTGGCGTTCGAGCGCCAACTGCGCCCAATTTTTCCTGTTTTAATTTCCAATCCACTCCAATCAATTCCATATCAACCCAACACATGTATAATGAAGTTTTTCATATAAAACATGGTCTATACAAGTTCCATTACAATCATTTTCATATATTTACATGCCCAAAGTCAAATTTCATAAATGTTTTACAAAACATGGATCAAAAGGCACAAGTCGGCTTTTTTTCATCCTTGAGGCCCCAAGTGAGAGCCACCCACCGGTGTATAATCTGCACCTAAAATATTTTCCCATAAAGGGTGAGTCAGGCTCAATAGGGTATCTCCTAAAGAGGTTACTCTCCAACCTAAGTGAACATGAAATGTTCACATGCAACATTCAAAAAGCAACAACCATTCCAAACAAGAAGATGCAATTCAATGTTAGGAACCACCATGTCATGCCATAACATGAGATGAGACTCACTCATGCACTACAACCCGAGCTCTCACCGGCTCCCATCACCCATGCAATGCCATAAGTATAAAATCGAGCATTTTAAGCCCCCGCCATTGATGTTGCACATCCAATGACTATTTAAAATCTTCGGGTCTTTCTTGAGGTGGGTATCTATGGACTTACACCAACGGGCACCCGACTGACATAGAATTCATGGACTTCTATCAACGGTTCCATGTACACTGACACACTTTATGGGCTCAATATCAACGGAGTGCGTATCCATATCACTGGGTCCTACACCCGAGGGACAGTCTAGCCCTTCTTGCTAACCTTGATCCAATTTTCAATACAAACTGTGTGACTCAGTCAAATCTTCGATCCAAATTTTTCGAGTCCACCCATTATCTATCAAGTGTGATGTCTAATGACTACCATGCACCCACACTCACACTTATGCTTCATGCCCATGAATACGATATCTCCATGCAAATGCAATATAATGTACAATTGCAACACCAATATCATGTACAATATTGAAATATTACACTCTTTGCATATGTAGTAGAGATGTAAAACCTACTGCATATTTTGAACCAATCTTTCTTGAGAGATATTCTACATCTACTCAAACAATAATCTTTGATTCAACGGTAAACTTTCTTTGAATAATCTCATTACCTTTGTTTTGATTAACACTTATTGAATTATATTATTAGCATTGTCCTTGAACTTTTATTTAGAAAAAATATAGATATATGATTTCAGAAAAATGATCTTTGGTCATCTTTGATTAATCTTGAGCTTTAACCATTTATTTTACAAATTATATCCTTAGTCAGCCGTGATTGAGCCTAACAAGATATATAAATTCTTTTCTTAAAACCCAAAGAAATACCCCAGCCAAATAAAAATATAGTAAACCTACCTTTGCTATCTATTTTTCTTGCACCATCTTCTAAATCAGCAGGATATGGAAAGAAAAGGAAGGGCAAAAGAATGATCACGGTTCAAAGAAAAGAAAAATCTGAAAAAAGAAATTTCAAGGAAAAAAAGAAAGAAGGTAAAGAGCCAAGAAAGTGAAAATGGAAAAAATAAACATTCAAATTCTTAGAAAAGAAGAGGTGTGCCACAATATTAAAGAAAGATAGCGTTTGAATCCCACTAATGTCGCTTCATAAACCTTAACCCGATGGCCACATTACAACCCTAATAAAGTCCTTTTTGATTCCGGAAATCATTACTCCTATCATCCAAAGAAGGAGAATGTTAATAAAATGTTTAAGAAAGTGTTTAAGAAAGTGTTAATATTCTTTCATGAGATTATGTCAAATTCCAATTTTATTCGAATAACCGCTCTTTTGATTAACTACATGTGAAATCATTTGCTTTGTTACGAATATTCCAAACACTTTTAGTTTTTGAGAAAATAATCACTATAACATGTGTGTATTCTTTGTTTAGTATATTCCAGAGGAGGATTGACATCACGAACTACCATGAGAGATGGTAATATTTCTTAAGTGATTTTTAAAAATAAAGAAATCATGATGCACACACACACAAGTTTTTATAAAAATATATAGATAATGTTACAACTAACGTGTGTTACTCTTATAGTGATAAGAAAAAGGACATATTCTAGCAATGCACAAGAATATTGATTTAATTTTACTTGTGAAAAATATGAATTATGAACTCCTAACTACTGAACTTTGTAGGTAGCTCCACTGAAAAACTTTCATGAGATAAAACTTGTCCACTAGGGATCACCTAGGAGTTTAAAGGCTTGTTGCATATGCTAAATGCAATCATGAAAAAATCTATGAAAATGATTTTACCTCTGTTTGTATTATATTTGTAAATAATTTTTATAAGTTTACTAGGGACTAGTAAAGTTTAAGTTGAAGAATGTGATTAACCCTAATTAGTATATGAATTAGAATCGTTAAATAAGTCAAATTGGTAAGATAAAACAATTAAAATCTATCAATTAGGGTTTGTGTGTGAGCTAGGGTTTTATGTGTGATATGTTTAAAAATTTCAAGGTTTGATGCGAAATTTACGAAAAATACAAGGAATAATGTGTCAAAGCTTAAAAGAGAAAAAGAGAAAATACAAGGAATATGCATGACCTCCTTGTTCTTGAGTTAGACAGCCAGACATGGGAAAAAGAGAAAGTAATACCCAATCTGGTCTGTCATACTCTCCAGCCAAAACTTTGCATTTCTACATTTCTGTGTTATCTTTCTATTCGGATAGTTGAATTGCCGCCACTTTTTTGTCTTAACTAATAAGAAAGGTGGTTGTAATTCAGTTGTTCCTTGTGAAAGAAGTGTCCGAGTTTGTATTTTAATTACTTTGTAATAAAAACTACCCGCACTACTTGCTTGTATGTAGTAATAGGGTGTGAGTAGTTACATATATCCTTCAGTGAGAGGTAAACATATGTATATATATANTACTTTGTAATAAAAACTACCCGCACTCCTTGCTTGTATGTAGTAATAGGGTGTGAGTAGTTACATATATCCTTCAGTGAGAGGTAAATACATCTATATATATATTATACTTTATGCATGATACGGTAATGTACGTAATTGGAAGTGACAGCCCGGAATTATGTCATCAGTGAATCATCAACCTGCTGGCTAAATATCTATGGTGTTCCATTGGTATGGCTTGATCTCCAAAGAAGCACTGAGGATATTTTAACAATTGCATGGTATATAAAACTATCAGATTAATGATTTAAGTGATTCTCATGAACGACTTGTCCTTCTAGATTACTAAGGTTGTTTAACTGGTATACATAATAATATTGCCAGTTAAATATCTACGGTGTTCCATCAGTATGGCTTGACCTCCAAATGAGCACTAAGGATGTTCTATTGTAGCATAGTATAATCATCAGACTAACGATCTAAGTGATCCTCATGAAGGGCTTGTCCTTCTGGATTACTAGGATTGTTTAACTGGTATATAACTAGCTAACCTGAGAAGTTGCTATGTTATGATCTATTAATACCACCAGCTAACTTAAAAAGTTGTTGTGTTATGGTTTATTATGTACGTACATATAATATTGCTAATTGAGTAATTCAAATGATCCTCATGAATGACTTGTCCTTCTGGATTATTATGGTTAGTCAATTGACACATGTATACGATCAACTAATCTAAGAAGTTGTTGTATTATGATCTATTAGTTCCACCAGCTAACCTAAGAAGTTGTTGTGCTATGATTTATTATGTACGTACATATTATAACATTGTCAATTGAGTAATTCAAATGATACTCATGAATGACTTGTCCTTCTAGGTTATTAGGGTTAGTCAATTAACACATATATACGACCAGCTAACCTAAGAAGTTGCTGTGTTATGATCTATTAATACCACCAGCTAACCTAAGAAGTTGTTGTGTTATGGTTTATTATGCACATACTTACTATCATATGGTCAACTGAGTAATTTAAATGATCCTCATGAATGGCTTGTCCTTCTGGGTTATTAGGGTTAATCAATTGACACACGTATACCACCAGCTCACCTAAGAAGTTATTGTGTGATGATTTATATACATCAGACTTACCGGTTGACTTTCCAATGACATGGAAGTTAATTGCGGTAAGGTAGTATTTCCAGTATTTAACCACTATAAAGCATATGAGATCCTTAAACTGAAGGGTACTTTTTATATTATTGTCTTCTCACAATTTATTTGCAAACAACTATTTGCTTAAACTAGTTATCAATCTAAGTTCACATCACAAGCTATCTCAAGCTCTCCTATTTTAAACAACAACTGCACTATTTTCATTTTATTTCCTAATTATTAAAACTCGTTGTGGGATCGATCTTGGATTGAAACCGAANCACATCACAAGCTATCTCAAGCTCTCCTATTTTAAACAACAACTGCACTATTTTCATTTTATTTCCTAATTATTAAAACTCGTTGTGGGATCGATCTTGGACTGAAATCGAAAAAACTACAATTCGACCACTTATACTTGGGTGTATAATATAAATCCGATACCACACAAAAAGTTGAATCAAGATGTTTTGGTGCAGTCGGTTCTTAGTGCCATACCAACTCATCTACTGGCGTGTGTGAATATTCCTAAAGGTATTATTGCTCGAATGAACTCTATAATGGCATCCTTTATTTGGTCTGGTAAAGATGCAACTAGGAAAAGGCATTGGTGTTCATGTGCTAATGTTACATTGCCTAAGGAAGAGGGTGGTCTTGGATTAAGGAAGTTTGATGATATTTCCAAAGCTTTTAAAATTAAGCAAGTTTGGAATTTGATGCATTGCTCTACTTTATGGTCTCGGATCTTGTCTGCTAAGTATCTTGGTCATCGAAATGTTTTGAGTAATTTAAGACGATCTTATTCGAAGAGTTACAAAAATTTATCTCCTTGGTTTGATCAAGTGGTGGCCCACTCCAAGATGATTATTGGAAATGGAACAGGAATTGATTTTTGGTGTGACAATTGGTCTGCTTTAGGCCCGTTGATTTTGAAAGTACAAGAGCAGCCACAGAATTTTCCAAAGCTAAGAGTTGTGTATTCTAATGGTCGACGGGATTTTTCATTATGTCCAGAGTTGAGTGAGCAGGTAAGCTTTGAGCTATCTTCTCTACAGTTTTCATTTTATGATAAGCAAGATTTATTGGTGTGGACGCCTTCTTCATCGGGAAAATTTACAATCAAATCAGCATAGTCCACTATTAGACAGCGTGAGCAACAGAATTTAACTGCTACTTTAATCTGGGGACAGCAAGTTTCACCAGCAGCTCAGCTTGTAGGATGGAAAATTTTGAAGAATACTCTTCCAACAGATTCCACTTTTATGTCCATTAGAGTTTCGGTTGCTAGTAAATGTTTGTTATATATGCAAGGTTCTGAAACTGTGGATCACCTTTTTATTCAATGTAAGTATGCTGAGGCAGTATGGCATGGAATATCTTCTGCTATGAATTTCAGCTTGGTTACGGGTGAAGGAGCTTTAACAAGGTTTAGAAGATTGGTAAGGATTTATAAGAAAAGATCCATTGCTCATGGACTTCTCCGGGGCGTTTCATTGATTGTTTTCTGGCAATTATGGAATGAAAGATGTCGTCGTTTGTTTGAAGGAAGTAAGTTGCACTCTTCTGCTCTGATTATTAGAATTAAAAATTTTATTACTTATCAAAGGTACGTTATAAAGCCTAAAGATACTGAATCGAAGAAAGGGCAAGAGCTTTTGGCTACTCTTCAAGTCTCTCCATCTCTGGTTAGGAAAAGAGCTATATGGGTATCTTGGAACTGTCCACCAGCTGGTTTTTTGAAGTTGAAACTTGATGGCTCAGCGAAAGGAAATCCAGGATGGTCAGGCGGAGGTGCAGTGGTGCTAAATCAGAGGGGGCAGCTTGTTATGGCAGCCTCAAATTTTTATGGGGTATGTACTAATATGGAAGCTGAGATGAAGGCATTAATGGATGGTTTAAAGCTTTACTATAGCTTTGGATTGTCTGATTACGAGTTGATTATTGAGACAGACTCCAAATTCTTGTTGATATGTTAAAGGGCAGCTGTGAGTCTAATTGGAAATACAGGGCTTTGTTTTATCAATTGCAGAATCTTCTCGAAGGGTTGAAGTTTGAAATTCAGCACATTTATTGCGAGGCGAATTTAGTTGCTGATTATCTGGCCAATCAAGTAGTCAAGGAACGTGCCTATAAGGAAATTAATTTGGGATTCTCTTCCAGCTGAAGAGCGTAATCTTCTCCTACAAGATCAAAGGCAGCTACGTGTTTTCAGAGTGAGGAATGTTGCACAATAATTTTGGCTATATTTTCAGCTCTTTCAAGCTTGTCAGAGCTATTTCAGCTGAGTTTTCTACTTTGATAGATCCATTATGCGAGGTATTCTTCAGCTGGACTGTTCATGTTACTGTTCATTGCACATTCAGCTAGATACGTTTAGCTAATGTCTGGGATTTAGTCACTCCGTCAGCTGGTTTTCTACTCCTTCAGCTGTTAATTCTTGTTGAAATTTAATGATCCTTCTTCAGCTAGGAGTCATTGGACCAAGCCCACAGCTATGTTGTGGATGATCACTGTTCACGTCACTTGGACTGCTCAGCTGGTTTTTTTTTTTTGCAGCTCAACTCTCAGGAACTCACAGCTGCTACAACTTCAGAATTTTTTTTTTAATGCTCATCTGTCTCAACTGACCATTAGATTAATATCAGCTGAGTTATTTTCCAGCTGGGGTTCTCACAGTAGGGTATATCTCAGCTGGACTGTTTCAGCTAGATTATTTGTTCCGGCTAAGGCTTTCAGCGATTTGTTCCAGCTTGGAGATCTAGGCAGCAAAGGTTTTTAATGTAGCTGTGGTGGATTTCCAGCTGTCTAAGTGCACTGTTCACGTGACAGTTCCCGTGGCTGTTCAGTTGCTACTGCAGTTGGATTTCTTTCAGCTGATCTCTTTGGTTTTTGTATTTTGATGGCCTCTTCAACTTCATCAGATAAGTCTTTGGAAATTTTAGCTGATCTCGTTTGTCAGCTGGACATTTTTTAGCAGTTAGGCTGCCTCATCTGGTACCTCAACTGGAACCTCCTACTTCAGGTAGACTTTTGTTTCAGCTGGACTCTTGCTGATATGGACTCTTGCTCAGCTGGACTATAGCCACAATTTTTTTTAGTAACTTAGGATAAAGCTTAAATTCTTTTGAGCTTATCCTAATCATTGCAGGCCATTATCTTCAGTTTAGCTATAAAAAATTTTCTTTTCTTTAATTTTAAAATGCATTATGATGTAATTTGCATGCATTTGTTATTTATTATTTTATTTTGCTCATAATGTATTTAGATGCATATCAAAGTAAGGTACATACGTCCCCCTCGCTAGGTGTAGTTTATTTTCAAAATCAATAATATTTTCTCGTACTGTCGAGGTTACTAAAAAAAAAGGGAATAACATCATGACTATTCAAATGTATATGCAAATCATGCACCCAAATCTGCTAGAAGTTATAGAGCTCAATGCATATGAAGGGCCACAAGAAGTNATGTATATGCAAATCATGCACCCAAATCTGCTAGAAGTTATAGAGCTCAATGCATATGAAGGGCCACAAGAAGTCAAAGAGTCCAATGCATTTGAAGGGTCATATGTTACGTACAAATATTCACACCAATACACCACAATCATTGCTGGATTACAATTAAGAGCTAATCAAGCATAGTACTTTTTTTTAACATCCAAGTACGGTAGGCCTTTATATACCAAAGATGGTAAAACTTGGCAGATTGACTTACAACATTTGAAGCAATGGCAGGGGCAAGAAATAGGCAATCTTGCAATCATGCCTGATGATGTTAATAAATGGATGAGCAGAACGTGCGAACTACACAGATCAGCTAGGGTCTAAGTGCTACAAAGTTCATGTGGATTATGATTAGGTTCTTGGGAAGTAGAGATGACTTGCATAGTGAAAATATAGTTGTTCACTGAGCTTAGGAGCTCGGTTAGTCCACTCTTAAATAGAGTCTCTTGTTCCTTGGATCTATATTGATGGCTGCAATGAATTACATAGTGTTTCTCATACAATTGGGGTCCCCCCCTCGATGGAGGCACTGTCCAGTATTTATAGTTTGATTTCTATCTCTAAAGGATCTGCAGTGAGATTCCTACCCTTCATCTGCGGGATTTTCCTTAATTTTGCAGAGAAGATCTTGGGTGGTTAAGAGTTTTGTTAATCACTGTCTTTCGTTATCTTGGAGATGCCTCCTGTTAACCAGTTATTCCTTTCTCATCTCTTTTAATCTTTCATCCAAAGGGAGCTCGAGGTCTGGGCTTCTGATCTCTAGGTTCCTTAACTGAACTCCTTGTCTGACTCCCTTCCGGAGATCATACTTATTCAATATCCTTTTCATGTATCATCAGTTGCCCTCCAGCTCTTGGTTCAAGCAAACTTGGACAAGGGCTGAACTAAGGCTAAGTTGAGGTAGACCTCCACCTGGTGGCCTCGATATATGCACGAAGAGATTTTTGACGATTACAGGTAATCATTTCCTCCCTCGTTTTTCATGCACGTTCTCTTCTTTGAAGTCCCACATACTGTTAGCTTCAAATATCCCTGAGATTGAAGGGAAATGGATCTCATTTCCCTCTTTGAATTCTCTCTCTAGGTGTTACCCTTTCTTCTTCTCTTCAATCTTGCCGGTGTCCCTAGGGTTTGGCAGAAAATCGATGCCCCCTAATTTGACTTGAGGTTTCAATGAAATTCGCTCTTTGTCTTAGTCTTGAGCTTTAGCNAATTCTCTCTCTAGGTGTTACCCTTTCTTCTTCTCTTCAATCTTGCTGGTGTCCCTAGGGTTTGGCAGAAAATCGATTCCCCCTAATTTGACTTGAGGTTTCAATGAAATTCGCTCTTTGTCTTAGTCTTGAGCTTTAGCCCACCATTCATCCTTACCTAGATACACTTCTTGTCCTCTGTTCATCTCTTTGTTTTGGATCCCTCGAATCTGAGGTGGTTTCTGCATTTTTGGACTTTCCGATTTTGTTATTTTAGAAACCGAGGTCGCTCCTTGTCTCGTATTCCCCTCTTTCTGGACCCTTATTCTACTCCTAGGATCTTTGTCATCGGTCGCTGGTGTCTTGACCCCTTGATCCTCGAAGAGTATTTCTCAAAGATTTCTCCTCTTTATAGGTCTTTTAAACTTCCTTACTCTTGCCCAGCCATGTCTGCTTCTTTCGAAGCCACCAGCTCGTCTATCTCCCTCATGGGAGACAGGAAGAAAAGGATACCGATTTAGGAGATGTGGGGGAGGAGATTGATAGATTTCTTGGTGTCAATTCTGTCGACATCGAGAAAAATGTTGAGGTGCCTCCTTCTTCGTCCTCCCTAATACCTAAAAATTGCAACAAAGGTAAAGTCAAGCTGAGCGGCGTAGGGATCTCAGGTAGTGTTAAGGGCGTAGGGGCTGCCTCTAGAGCTGTAGAGCTCGTTGGTTGCAGTGAGGTTTTTCCTATACAAATGAAAGTCCTGGTTGCTCGTTTTGGTTTTCCCCTAGGTGTACAGTTCTGGTGCCTAGACGAATTTACTCGGTATGACTCTGAGGTTCCAGAAAAAACTTGCTTCTTCATAGCTTCTCTCGAGAATGGGCTCAGGTTCCCTGTGCATCCCTTTATCAAGTCCGTCCTCTAACATTTTAGAGTCTGCCCTGATCAAATCTCCCCTAACTTTTGTGGGGTCTTNGCCAAGGTGAGCGGCGTAGGGATCTCAGGTAGTGTTAAGGGCGTAGGGGCTGCCTCTAGAGCTGTAGAGCTCGTTGGTTCCAAAGAGGTTTTTCCTATACAAATGAAAGTCCTGGTTGCTCGTTTTGGTTTTCCCCTAGGTGTACAGTTCTGGTGCCTAGACGAATTTACTCGGTATGACTCTGAGGTTCCAGAAAAAACTTGCTTCTTCATAGCTTCTCTCGAGAATGGGCTCAGGTTCCCTGTGCATCCCTTTATCAAGTCCGTCCTCTAACATTTTAGAGTCTGCCCTGATCAAATCTCCCCTAACTTTTGTGGGGTCTTGGTGGGCCTTCTGGTTTTTTTCAAAAAACAAAATCGGCACCCCTTTTA